GAAACTTCGAGAATTTAAATTACCATAGTCCCGCCGTAGCCAAATGATTTCGGTTCGGTAAATCGTGGAACCGATACTACTGGCCTGATACTGAAACTGTGTAACTGCGGTTCGGCTCGGTATTTACCGAAACCCTGAAACACATTAAACTGTCATTGTGTCAGGCTGACGGGTCAGGCTGACTGCGCCAAATAGAAACGAAAAAAAAGCGAACTTCACGCTATATAAATTTTTTTTAATAAAGCGACAGCCTCTGTTCGCGTGATAATTTGATACATCCAATAAGAACATCTCTCAAAGACAAAAAAAAGAGACGAAAAAACCAATATTTTTTTCTTAAAAATATTCTAATTAAAATATTATTTATTATATTACTTTTATAATAAGAACATTTAAAAAGTAATTTTTTAAATTTATATAATTTATATTAAATTTAATAAACAAATATAAAAAAACTATTTTTAAAGAAAATAATTTTTTAGTAAAAAATGCTAGTTATTTCGTCATGAATATTTGAGCCAGCTTGATAAAATTAATATCTAAGTAATTTTACACTTGCAGAAAGAGTCAAGACTTGTTCTATACTAAAACTAAATTGTAAAGTGAAAAAAAAAATCGATTATGCACGGCATTATAATTCTATACAAAATTTTTCATAGTTTAGAGAATATTCAAGCTATCATCATGGCGGATTTATGAAATACCCCAAAATTTGTCCGTCATGTAATTAAATAAATATTTGACAGCATTTTAGTCACCAAGTTTCTATTTAAGTCCCAAATTTATTAGTGAACAGTCAAATATGAGCTTTAAAAAATTTTTTTGTACCCCAAAATCTTACGTCTAACCAATTTTCCCATTATCTAACCAATTTTTCCAGTGTTAATAAAGGCGCGTCATTATTTGACATTTTTTAGGAAAAAAGCTTAATTCCCGAGGGTGCAGCAGGGTTTTGCCAAATTTCATAAATCCGCCGCAATGTCTAATATTTGAATAGTTCCATACATACTGAATAACTTTACTTAGTCTTCTTAGACCTTGTTTCAATTAGCTAAAGTACTGAAATTATGCTATAAAATTGAAAAATAAATGTAGAACAATAATTTCATTAATAAATATCTGTTTTCACAAAAATTTAAGAAATATTAATAAAAACTAATATGTGTGGGTTCATACTCTACTTAGTTTCCTTACATTTGACTAAAGTGAATATTATAATCTATTAAAAAAACGCGTATAATAACAATATTCTATATTTAAAGTTTTTAAAATATTTATTCTTAAGCAATATTTTAGCACGAGAGTGATGTTTGATCGTTGTCTGCTGCGCCACCAACCTGCGTATGATATGTGACACTCAAGCATCACATCTTACGTGATTATATTTCTAGATTTTCGATATAATAGGATAACGTAACTTATAAACTCAAACGGAATAAACCGAGGATGAAACACTCTTTAGTTTCACGGAAATTTGTTTCCTTTTGAGTTGTACAAATCTGTCATACTCTACGGTTTTTTCTTGTTGTATTTATCGAGTAAATCAAAAAACCGAACGGATAATTGAATTTCCTATCTACCGATTTACCCTTTAACAGTAAGCATTTGTTTTTGTATAGTTACAATAAAAGCCGTAAACAATGGTAATCTTAATAATAATTATTTGTCAAACATTCAAACTTATGTTTTTCAAATTAATGCCCAGAAATTGATCATTTTGATATAATAATACGATTCATGTATCAGTATCATATGATGTCTTAGTAACCTAACCTGAATCTTCGTGCTTTCACATGATGTGAAAATTTTTTATCATGTAGGTAGATCTTTCCAGAATTTTTTGTATTTAAAATCTTGGTATTTTTCATTCAATAAATGTTGCACAGTTATTTCTTGAAAGTTTTAAGATGATTATGGTTTTAAAGTAAAATAATTATTTTTAACATATTATAAAAAAATTTTGCAATCGGATCTCATGAATGCTTTTACCGTTAGATTCGAAGAACTTTTATTTATACGTTCCTAATTGAATTCTGAATTTATGTTTTTGTAAATTGTGATACTAAATCTTTTTTTTTTGTTGCGATTATTATAATCTCCTTTATATAAAATTAAATGTATACAAACACAATTTTTGGGGTCTTCTTACAATTTTCAATTAATTTCAAATAATTTTGGTATTATTTTATTACACAAAATTATTCTTTTTTGAAAATAATAGTTTCATCAAATTACCACAAATGAAATTATTGATTATTTCACATAATTGAGGTTTTTTTTTAATTGTTCAAGTTTCAGATGTTAAACGGAATTGAATTCAATAACTCTTTAATTGAACTAAAAAAATTTTTTTGCTTATCTTGATACGCAGTATAAATATTTACTAAATGATCAGTGACACAATGATCAGCAGGCGTAATTCTTTCAACTCGTATTTTAAAAAGAAAAAGAACAAAAAAACTTTTTTTTTATTTGGATAAATAATGAACATTCTAAAAGCATTGAATCGATATCCAGATTGGCCTACTTAAAGTAAATATTTCTTCTATGCATCCTTCTTGCTTCTTATTAAGTCAATGGGCCGAAAAATTATGAACTATAAAAATTTTATAACACTCCCCCTGAATTAACCCAATTTTGCGATCTTGTGGATCTTGTGGAACGTTGCTTGAAAGTTGAAACACAATTCCTAATTAAAAGCTACAAAAAGTATTAATTGAATAGGTAAGTTTTATATTCATTATTTTATTTTATTTTTCAATACGTAAAAATATATTTTTATTAACATACTATTTTTTGAATCATTGTTTAAATTGTGGCACAATCTGCATGTGTAACGTATAAAATTTTTTATAGCCTCTCGATCATATAATAAAGTCATTACAAGTTCTTTAATTTATCCGCTACTAAAACAATGTATGAATTTTAATATCTGATATGGAAAGTTGAATAAAGTGGTCTATTGTTGTACAAAGTACAAACTTGATCGGTATGCGCGAGTGTTGATCTGCCCGCAGATCAAAATGATTGAATATTGATAAAAAAAAATGTTTTTATTTCTTCAAGTCGGAGGAAGAAAACTTTCTTATTTAAGTAAAAGATTATCTAACAAGTTTAATCTTTTTTTTTAATATAAATTCTTTCAGTTTTCTGTGGGAATAAAAGTCGGAATTGAAATTCCAAAGGATCAGTCATGATGTAACACAAAAAAATTTTAGTACTTATTACGTTTTAATGTCCATTATATACTCAAGCATACTAATGTAATTATTCTATTTATATTATTCTATTTATAATTAGTATATAACATCAAATTAATTCATAAAATTGGATGATAAGGCTGCTCATTTTGGTGGCTCATATACAAATGTAGAAGAATTAACGAAACAATAACAATATTATTATGGATTAGTCTTATCCCTATCGTAATTTGATTCCATTATTTAATTTGTAGAATTAGAAAGTTAGTTTTAAATACTTGCTTAAGATTCAGAATTATCGACGAAATCTATTCTTATTATGTTTTTTAAAAAAAAAGAATGTAAACCGCAAAGGGAAATAAGACTTTCACGGAATGTTCTCTTAATTTAGTAATATACGAATGACCAAAGTGGAATGAATTTTATAAAAAGGTCAATCACTTATAAAAAGGGCAGTAATTTACCATATAATATATTTTCATTTATGATTATATTTTAAGTACGTTATTGTTATTTGTATATATCTAAAAATGTATGTAATTAATTTCCTTTTCTTTTTCAAGAACTCCTTATTTCTATTCAGTTTTTTTCAATAAATATTGATTGTTTGACCGCTTTGTTTGATCTCTGCCTCGGAGTTGGTTATATTTTTTTTTTCTTATAATAAAAAAATTTTTTTTTATTTTTCCCTTATAACAGAAAAATTTTTTTTTTATTATTATTACAATTTGAACAATCTGATCTGACTATTAAATTCGTCGGTTTCTTATTCCCGAAATTTGTTACATTAAATTAGTTCTTACAAAATTTTTCCCTGTTTGCCTTATTTTACTTTTTAGGGATTAGAATTGTATAAAAATTGCTTAACCATATTCAGTAAAATTTTGAAAGGAAAATTAAACGTAATGTATCAAAACATCCCTTGCGCAATTATGAAATAAAAAGGTGTATTCTTTCTCCCTAAATTTTTGTTCGTGTAAGCTTCGTGTGTAAGCAAGCACCACTTCTTATTTATCTCTATCAGATCAATTAAACTTTCTTGTCCAATATTTTTCCCATGCAAATTAGTTTTAATAATGGTATTTGTTTGAATCTTATAATAAAATAACAAAATTAATTAATTTAATGTTTTACAACATCTTTATGTATATAATAACGTAAATTTGATAGACGCAGTCCGCAGTTTTTAACGTAATACAGTAATACATTTTCAAAACCGCAGTATTGTTCGTTCTGGTTCGTGTTAATACTTAAGAATAATTACATACGTTTCTAATAAATCTAAGCGAAGAAGTAAAAGATAATAATTCTTTGAATTCTAAATATGTATATGATCAGAAATTACAATGTGAATTACTGCGTAGATGTTAGATCCGGTATTCGATACTCGAATTTAAATCCAGATGGAACGAAGAAAACCGGATTTATCATGTCTAGATAACCGAAGGAACCCCGGATATAAATCCGAAGGATTCGATATAAGTTACTATAAAATAAATCCGGTTCTAAATACTGCGTAAATTCAATAAACGCTCATGCACGAAATTCTACCCACGTGACTGTTACATTATGAGGTAAAAAAAAAACTGTCCAGGCGGAGGATGTGACGCGAGGTGACAAATATTTTGGGTCACGTGGGTAGAAATAGTCCTGAGGGGTCCAGGTTCTTTGTCTTTATATATAAAATTTAAGCTGGGGTGTCACGCTTTTAGTTGTCGTGCTACAGTTGTAATCGTTACACCTGCATTGTCATACGTTAAAAATAATATAAAATCAGATCTGCCTTAAAAAAATTCTTTTAAACGTTATTTATCTATTATAATAAATTATACCAAAATGAAATTGGTAATTGTTTATTTTTATATCAGTGAATTAAATTAATTAAACTGATTATTATTATCATTTTTTAAAATTAGCATCCGTTAAGTCGTAACTTAAGAAGAAATTGTTTTTTAATCAAATTAATGCAAATGAATATATTAATAGATTGTGGATTAGATACTTCTTACTTTTTAGAATTTCCACCTCGTGATATTATCGGGTCAAAAGCACAACAACATGCATCAGTTTCTGTTGAAGTTTCTTCCAATATATCAGATCATTCGGATCATACATCATCTTCTAATGATGCTATATTAGAAAATAAAGAAAATGATAAGAAACGTCGTAAATTGGATCATCTAATTGATTCAACTGGTGATGGTAGTGGAGGTGCAGGTGGTGGAGTTCGTCGGCGTGGTCAATTTTTAGTGGAAACTCCTGAATTTAGTAGCATCGATTGGAATATTATTGATTTCATATTTATTACCAATTATAATCATATGTTAGCTTTACCTTATATTACTGAATATACTAATTTCAAAGGAAAGATTTACGCTACAGAGCCTACAGTTTTATTTGGACGGTAAAATAATTTTTAAATATCAAAAATTATTGAATCTAGTATATTTATTTATTTATCATATTTTTTCTTTTATAGACAGATGATGAAGGAATTGGTGCATTTCTTTGGTGATAGTGTACTTAAAAGTCGAACACATTCACAACCTGGATCTACGAATATTTTTACCGGTGTCACTGCAGACTGGAATGTTGCACGATCTTTATATTCAATAGCAGACATTCAATCTTGTATTGATAAAGTAAGACCTGTAAGATTTGGTGAACATCTGGTGAGTTTCGCTGATACACATATTTTCAGTAATTTTTTTTTTTAATATAATTCTAACATACTCAATAGAATTTATATGAACTCGAAGTTACTGCATATAGTTCAGGTTATTGTCTTGGTAGTGCTAATTGGATGATTGATTGTGGAGGTGAAAAGGTAACTTAACATTAAAGATATGGATATGTTACTTAATTAATTATTTACTTATTATAAGAAAAAAATTGAATCTTTTTTAATAGATTAGTATAGTGTCATCATCATCCACGGTACAAAATATACATCCTTTACCTTTTGATGAGACGGTATTAAATAATGCTGATGTTATCATTCTTAGCGACTTGCGTGATAAGGATGGAGCTAGATTTGAAACCATTCTTATTGAAATTGGAAATTGTGTTGGTACGAATAAATATAATTTAAGTTTAGCATGATTTAATAACATTCTTTTAAATATTATAACTAATTAATTAATAATTATAATTATTAGCCAACACTCTAAAAAATAAAGGAAATGTTTTATTCCCTTGTACGATGAATGGAATTATTTTTGATATAATAGGTTTTTTGAGTCAACATCTAAGGGCCGTAGGATTACGTGGTATTCCCTTCTATGCAGTATCTCCTATAGCTGAGGAATCCCTCAAATATTCTAATATATGTGGGGAGTGGTATGTTAATTAACTGGGAAAAACTTCGATAAATGATCATTTTTCTGAAAAATTTTTTATACAATAATTGATTGATATTAATAATGGAACAAGAACCAGATATTTGTTAATACTATCTTTATGTCATTAGGATGTGTACCGAGAGACAGCAAAAAATGTACTTGCCAGATAATCCGATGCATCATCAAGACATGATTGAGCAATCGTTATTATATTATGCATCTAGGGCTGATAGTTCATTACAGGAAAAATATCAGGAACCATGTGTTGTCTTCGCTGGACATCCGTCATTACGTAGTGGTGCAGCCATTAATTTCATTAGAAAGTGGGGAAATAATTCAAACAATTCAATAATATTTACAGGTTTGTACATTGTAATAATTATTATTATATTACTTTTTCGTGTGATTAATTAATGAAAAATTTAAAAAGAATCCGAGTATGATTGTGAGGAGGCGATGTCAGCGTTTGAAGGTTTACAAATAAAACCTATATATCTTCCAATTGACATTCGATTAACAATCAATGAGGTAACAAATATACTGAGAGAAAAGAAACCTCAACATGTTTTGATTCCTCAAAAGATTATAAAAGAATCGGGAAATATAAGGCCAAATTTACCTAACTCATTTATTACTTTATATGAGTGTTTAGATATCGTTAATATTTCTATTAATTCACAATTTGTCAGGACTGTTATGACAGAAAATGTAAGTTTGATGTTTAATAATTATTTACACATTATTTGTTTGAATTCTCTAATAAAATAGTTTTATTGTTATTTAAGCTTGCTTCAAATATTGAATTGGTTAATCTTGGAAAAGATTCGCTAATAGCATCATTGAATGGAACACTTAATATTCATAATACAAAAACATCATTAACTTCAGCGGAAAATCAATTAAATCAACAAAGATATGTTTGTGGGGAATTTGATGTCTCAAAACTTATTAATGAATTAACTGAACAAATAGTAAGTTTTTAAACAAAATAAAATCTTTATTTTTTTTAATAATAAAATATATTAATAATTTTCTTTAATTTTATTAGTATGGATGTAGAATAGATGAATTTGAAGAAGATAAGAGAAATTCAAGTTATAAAATTAGTTTAATATCCCCAAAAGCAACGATTTATTTGAATAATGAAAATTTTAAAATTATTACAACTGATAATCAAACTAGGATTAAATTGACAAAGATCTTGATCGAACAATTAATCGTATTATGAGATGGTATTATGAGATGTATTAATAAAGTAATTATTTTTGCGAGAAAAAGAATTTCTCATAGCGCAACAAAATTTTAAAAATTTTATTCGTGAATATGATACACTTATCGGAAATAAAAAAAAACACGGAATAAAATTTTTTATATGCAGCCGAACTCCGAACTGGGGGACAAATTTTTTTTTTCTAAAATCAATTTTTTTTTTTGGAAATCTTAGATGTTTATAACTAACATAAATGGTAGATTACAAGCAAAATTTGACTAGACATTATGCAGATGAATAATTTGTTTGTTGATAATCAAAAAAATTAGAAATTTATATAAAAGAATGAATGGAGTTGGGGAAATGGGGAAATGGGGCTTTGATTACACTTTTAAAACTTTCTTTACGTGTAAAATTCATTTTATATACGACTTGGATGAACTTTTTTTATTTTATTTTGATGTTTAACCCTACGAACTTTTTTTTCTACTTTTTTCATTTATTTTCAGAGTTTTCTTTAAAAATGACAATCTACTACTGTAAAATAGTTAATAAATAACTTATAAATATATTTAATATGTCTTTATTTTGAACGAACGGTACGTTATCAGGTATTCAGACTATTTTTTGCCACTGTTGAAACTTGATATTAGATCTCTAAAATGTTTGATGTTTTTACGGTAAGAAAATAGGTTACGCACACATAATATTAGTAAAAATTCTAATATTTTATAATAATATCTATATGTTTTAATAAATCAATGGTTTAAAACTTTCTTTATATTATTTATTTGATGGGGAATAGTCGAAAGACTGTCTAGCATTAGGAATACTGTTGTGACCAATAGAAATTAATGTTATCAATACTAATCTCAAGATAGATGTCTCATTAAAACATCGGTTATATTAAAATCCGCATATTCCAAATCGATTAAACAATAAATGCATTTATTTGGTAATTATTAATAAGTAATTGTAATTAAAAAACGCAAATCATTATTTATATAAGTAATTAATAATATATTTGTGGGTTAATTTATAATATAGATTTGATTATCTACGATGATAATATAAGTCGATTTGTTTGTTATTATTGAGGCATCCCAGGTAAAGCTAGTAGTATATTATTTTATTTTATTCGAAATCACACGAATCACACGGTAAAAATGTAAAAAAGGCTAGGACAAAATACATCATCATGTTGAATCTTTAATTTGATGGAGGGCTTAATAGATTTCTCTAAAAGATTATTAATATAAATAAAAAATTTTTTCTTTGGAATAAAAAATTTTTTTTTATATATATGAAAAGATATAGTGCATGTTGTGTTCACCTATGGATGATACACGCCAAAAAGGCAATTAAAATAATTTACTCATTAGTAAAAGGAATTTTTTTTGGCTGGGGTTATGAATTAACATAATTTTTATTTTATTTCTTAGATTTACTCTGTTATCATCTTACATTACTTCAAATTCAAAATTTACTGGTGTATTACTGCGGTTCTTTCTTTTTTTTTAAAAAAAAAAAATGAAGTGTGATGGTGAGTTCTACGGGATGTAATTGAAAGTCAGATTGATATTAAAAGTAGTCGAAATTAGTGAATTGAAATATACTGTAATTGATACGTTTATATTGTTTATATTTTCACAATTTCACATATTTCTCTGTTCTATAAATTAATTATTTACATAATAAACATTTATCGAGTCGAAGATCATAGATAAAAAAATTTTCATTGATAAAATAATGACTTCATGACTTCATAAATAAATTTATTATTATTAACAAGAGGTCATTTTCATGGGGGAGCTTGACATACTTTTGAAAGATCTTTTAAGTGGAAGTTATTGTAAAAAAAAAAAATGACCAGTGATGGGAGACAAAAAGGAGTGATAGAAGATGAAGAGGAGTGATGGGAGACGAAAAAGAACGATGGGAGGCGAAAAGGAGTGATTGAAAGATGAAGAGGAATGATAAGAGGCAAAAAGAAGTGTTGGGAGACGAAAAGGAGTGATGGGAGACGAAAAAGAGTGATGGAAAGATGAAGAGGAATGATGGGAGGCAAAAAGAAGTGTTGGGAGACGAAAAGGAGTGATGGGAGACGAAAAAGAGTGATGGAAAGATGAAGAGGAATGATGGGAGGTAAAAAGAAGTGTTGNTTAAGGTCAATTGGATGTTATAAAAATGCAGTAACGGTATAAACTCACTATTAGTACCGCTCAATTTTCGTCTCAATTGATTATTTAAAGAGACATCCTCCTCAAATGCAAAGTTGATAGCCTGTCTCTTATACACATCTAAAAAGAAGTGTTGGGAGACGAAAAGGAGTGATGGGAGACAAAAAGAAGTGATAGGAGACGAAAAAGAGTGATGGGAGACGAAAGGAGTGATGGGAGACGAAAAGGAGTAATGGGAAGATGAAGAGGAGTGATGATGGGAGACGAAAGGGAGTAATGGAAAGTTGAAGAGAGACGAAAGGAGTGATGGACCTAATAAAAAACGTTTTTGCGACGTTTTTTGTTAAAATAATTAAAAACGTTTGTGAAAACCATTTTTTTTATAAAATTATTATTAAAGAAACAGTTTCGCAATATTTTCTATTAAAACAATTAAAAAATGTTGCGAAACTGTTTTTTTTATTAATAAAAAATGTTTTCGCAACATTTTTTTTGTTAAAATAATTAAAAAATGTTTCAAAATATTTTTTTATTAATCACTTATTACATGTTAACACAACATTCTTTAAAAAATAAAAAATTTTTTTTTTTGTGTTATAATGAATTGTGAATTTGCGGTTGAAGTGTTTTTTTTTAAATTTAGTGAATAAAAATGATCAACAAAATTAAAATTCTACCAAAAAACCTACAATTTGATGGTTAAACTTAATATGACATAAAAGTACCACAGGAAGCTCTAAATCACAAAATTGTGGTTTAAGAATTCTGTCCCTGTCCTGTCCTGTCCTGTCCTGTCCTGTCCTGTCCTGTCCTGTCCTGTCTTGTCTTGTCTTGTCCTGTCCTGTCTAGTACTATTAAATAAGTACTATAATACTTCCGGAAAAAAATTGTGCAGATCATGCCCATATTTTGATAATGACAAACTAACATTGGCCGATCAAATTGCTAATACCAAAAATAGGATCAACAAATTTTCATACCAAATCTAATCTGATCAGCAAATTGAATTCCAAATTTATTTTTGATTTCATTTAAACATTATAATGGTGTTAAAATTAAAATTAAAATATTTTTAGTATTATTACTATTTTATACAATTTTATTCAATTTTATTCTCAGAGATTTGTTTTCATTCATAAGTGATTCGGGGTTTATTCCGAGGGCTAAAAAATTACTAGGGTGATAAAATAAAATTGACCCCAAATAAAAGGTTTAAATTTAGTTTTTAAAAATTTTCACATCGTTTTGTTTATTTTGTTTATATTTACTATAAATAATTTCTTTAATTTCTTTTAAAACGTTTAGTTCTCCCAACTGAGCAGTTTGTCAAAGAAAATTAGTTACATTTATTTTTTTTTTAATACAAAAATCTCAGCCAAATTTTTTTTTACCGCTTGTTCAAAGTTTTCAAAGTTAGAACCCATGTTTCTAAAGGAAATTCTAATTACTTATGACTACTTTGAAATAAATGGAAAATAATTTTGGTAATTAAATGAACGTAAAAAATGGATTTGTAACACATAGTAATATGATTGTGTCTTTATCGCTCAAAAAAAAATCGTACTTTTTCGCTTGTTATTAATTCGTTAGGTAATTTTTTTCCGGATTATTCATTTTTATTACATCCGTGAATATTAGTACAAATTTAATTATCATTCACTAATATATTTTTATCTACCGAATATTTAAAATAAAGTAACTATATATCTTTCTTTCATCCTTTTCCCTTTTCAGACACTGGTAATTTTGTCACACCGAACTCTGAGAAATATGATCTTCAATTTAAAATTTCCTTTTTTATATTTCCTTTCAAGTGGTTCTAAAATAGGCTAGATAAAAAATTCAACCCATCAATTTGTTGTCCCTGAGTCGGGTCCGAGTACTTCCTTTAATTTTTTTTTTTATAAAAAGAGCCGTTCTGAACAAAAATACTTATTTTATTGACCAAAAAAATTTTCATATTTATGTTTTTATCTGTATCGTTTTATCGAAAATTAAGATTCTCAATTTTGTGCTACAACCATTACCTAATTTATTAAAATGCAATATTTTCAGAATTTTGAATATGAAATTAAGATAAATATATATAAATACATAGACTTCCCACTTAATTTGGCATTAACTTGTCGAAACTGGTCTGTAATTTCGAAAGATGCTTACGCCAAAACAGAATGGTTGCTAGTGCGTTATGGAAAATCTCATGCATTATTCCAAGCCGTGCGATTGGGCCCTACTTTTATAGATATCCCAGTATGTAAGACATTAATTACGAGAAAAGTTCCAATATCAAGATATTTTATTCAAAGGTTACTTATGCATTTTGGAAAATATGATCAAAAGTTGATAGAGCTCAAAATAGAGCATAATGTCGGTCAACTTGATGCGGATAGAATTCGCGCTTTCCAACAAAAAATCAAATCACCATGGGCGAGCAATTTACCCATATTCGTGTTCACTTATCTGTTAGATGAAGGGTACAAACAATTAGCAAATATGAACGAGACCTTACCATCAAAGGGTAATGATATGGAATTATTCCACTTCCTCTCCGCAGGCCCTCACGTGATAAATTATGCTCCCGGCATGTTGAGAAAGAATTTAAAAGATATAGAAGATTTGATTTTAAATAAACGGTTCGTTCCATTTCCTCCTAGACCAAAAGCGTATCAATTAGATTTAAATAGCGATCCACATATTCATCAACAACCAATTCCTGAGGAATATCCTTCCAAAGATGGATTCGAAAATAATAGACAGCTTAACGTAATTGCGAGAGGAATTCTTATTCATCCGGACTTAGTGAACTTATGGAAACAAATTGGTTATTATGAGATTTGTAACGACGTTAATGACTTGGTCATGCAAGGAGCACTTCTCATTCTATTCCCACCAACTCCCGCATCCGACTGGTCTTGCCCATCCATTGAAATGGTAATTTCACGCCTTGCTGAACTTATAAATCTAGGTTTCTCATTGAAAGATAATGTTATAATAGATGCACTCCATATGTTTGAGCATCGATTAGATGAAATAGGAGACATCCTGTGGGACGCTTTCCTTGCAATTCGATCAGGTGAAAATGTCTATTCACTCGCCCTTAAATTTTTCAGAGAAGCTTTTAAACCGGAAAGAAACTTAAAGAAAGATGACCTACTAAATTTCCTTAAATCCAAATTTGTTTATCATGAACAAGTTATAAAGCAAGTCGTTAAACAATATTTTATAGAAGAAAAAATGAGCGATATTACGTTAAGAAGAAAATCTTTAATACTGTCACCAAAAATTTATCAATATGTCCTTAGAACTTATAGTAAGGATTCCGAGCTCACAGTTATTTGTTTTGAGGACATCCTTACTTTAAGAATCTATATTGACAGCCCCCGAAATTTGGAAGAAATATCGACTTGTACCCGAGATTCCATCATTTCGGTTTTCGATTCATATATTAAAGAAAATGTACTATTTAAACCAAAATATTTGGATTTATTACAAAAAGCGACTAGTTTAGAAATAATTAAACCTTTCTTCGAAATTTTCCTTCCGACCATCTTTGGAATGAAGCCAACTAGCAAGAGAGGGAAGTCTACTCCTAAGAAAAGAAAGAAGTTAACAGATGAATTAGTTGTTCCATGGGTGAAAAAACTTGAACAGATCGATTCACTTAATCGAAGCAATCATGGAGAATTATCAATTAATTTCAGAGAATATTTTATGAGCTTTTGCAAAAGGCTGGAGAGCGAAACTACATACCAAATCAGAGAAGAGAATTTTTTTGTGGCGATGAATTATTATCATAATGATCTAAATCAACATAAAAAGCAAAGACGAAATGATAATCAAACAGATCAAGATGTTAACATGAACATGAACTTTAATGATACTCCGGACTTTTTCCGAAATATATTTAATTAATTATTATGCAATTTTGAGTAATTTATCTTTGGTAAGTTAAATAACTTTTCTCTTAATTTTATTATGCCAATTCAATATGGAAAATGCAACGATAAAACCAGATTTATTTTTCGATAAACAGTTTAAGAATACATTTATTATAAGATTTATAAATATAAAAAAAAGAACAGTATCAAATTTAACCATCAAAGTCACCAAGTCAGGTGAAGACACATTTTTTAACGGAACTACTTTTCATTATTTATTTTATTTTTCAATTCAATAGTTTATATGTCATTGTAAATTTTTATATAGACAATAACAAAAAAAAAAATTTTCAAAATTAGAAAGTTTATATTAATAATGTACAATATATTTTTATTTAAGCCAATAAAAGATATAATTTGAAAATTTTTTTTTTTTATGTAAATATATAACAATCCCTACCTAGTAAAAATTTGTTTTTTAAAAATCAGTATTTTTTTAATATACAGAAGTATTTTTATTTTTTTTTAGAGTTTAAAATAATGTGAAACCATCCTAGAGTTTACTTTATAATTAATATTATATTTATATATATTTATATATTATTAACCAAATAGTCTAATGCCGGCGGGGGTAAAAATATCGGACCCATGATAAGCTCATGCCACTCAAGAACATACCTAGTAATTTTAACAGTTTTTTTATATAAAATATTTAATTTTTAACGTGTTATTATATAACCAATACATAGGCTGCATAATAATAATTTTTATCTGATTGACGGAACACTTCATGCAATTTTTATAATAAACTCCAATAATTTTAATATTATGCTAAGTACATAGCATCCCTGTAAAAAAAGTCGAATTATTTACATTTTCCGTGAATGGATCCGTGAAAGGCTCATATTTACTGAGTTTTTACAGAAAAAATGGATAAAATTTTTATTGTTTTATATCAATTCGTTTGAACAAAAATCACTTCAGTTTTGAATGATCCTCAAACATACGATAATGGTGATAGCCTTCAAACTCATGATGGAAGAGAATCCGCTACCATTCCAAATCCTCAAACGCATGATGGGAGAACATCCATTATTAATCTTCAAACGCATGATGGAAGGTCATCTTCTAGTCCACCTTTCTCCAATCATTACGCAAAAATCACCAATTTTGAATGATCCTCAACTTATGATAATGGTGATGGTCATCAAAGTGATCAAACTCATGATGAAAGAGAATCCGCTACCATTCCAAATCTTCAAACGCATGATGGGAGAACATCCATTAATCCTCAAACATATGGTTGGTGGGTATCTTCTAATCGTTACTCCTCTAATTATTATGCTATGCATTAGTTAAGATGATGAAGAAATGGGGTATACAAGATAATTCTAATGGTGAATCTCTCATCGTCATGAATACACTTTAAATGCAAAAATGAATAATTGGGAATATTAAACTTAATTTGTATATTAGGAAATAATAACTTGTGATAGTTTTTTATGATATAATACAGCTATTTTACTTCCTTATAGGTTAGTACTAATATAATCGCGCAGCTATGCAAACGGTACGATTAACAACCCATTTTGTAATAAGATATATTCTCTATACTTGTATCGTCTTAATTGATGCTTAAAGACTAATGCAACCTTAATGTCAACTTGCTATATTGTAAAAAAATTTTTTTTTATTCAAGTAATAATCATGGAAAATATATTACTAATCTCCGTGGAGAAGTTTTCGTTATTAAAATGCGTTATAAACAATTGATTAAAACAATATAACATACCGATAATGGTTCTGATTGTTCTCTCCATGATTAATTCCATTATAAAAAAAAGTCTTAACTTATAAAGGCTAACTTCGGCTTTAAAAAGTAAATCAAGAAAAAATGCTATATTGGCCTTTGTGAATCATAAAGGGACAAAAATTTATGGTGATTATTCCGGAAGATTCCGGAAAGCCCGGGAAATTTCGGAAAGCTCAGGAAGGTTTCGGAAAATTTGTATTATTTATTTCATGGGGTGATGGGAATATTATGGTTTTTTTCCCGAAGGGAAAAAAACCATGATGTTCCACACCATGAAATAAAATTAGATATTTTACCCATGCTTATTTTGGCTCAAGCTAAAATTAACAAAAATAGCCATCCGATTAAATATAAATCGTTCCCACGGTTTTAGTAACTAACTGATAACTCCTTAAAAAATATATCAGGCGCGGTCTTTTCCGCGGCCGAAAATGCATTTGTTGCATGTATTGTTATTATGAGTTACGTAAATCCCATTTATTAACTTGCAAAGTCCGCTTATATTGTGATTCTAATTACAAATTTTCTTTCATCTATTTTATTTGCCCAATTAAGAAAATAAGAAAATTGACGATATTTTTTTTTTTGAAATTTCTATATCAATTCGTTTACTTTAAAATTTTTTTTATTTATTATTGTTCAATTGACATCTAAAATCAATAGAATAAGTTTTTTAACGACTTAAAATTAAATATGTTCTATAGAAATAATACTTTTAGGATTGATTATGGACTATTTATTATTTAAATGGCGTAGATCGTTATACAATTTAGGTACACCCTATAATGTGGCGTACCTCTATGACCCCTGTATATGGCAAATCATTAAAGGAAAGTTCCGAATTAATTAATTTAATTAAGAAATATTCCGCTAAAAACTTTAAATAAAACGGCAATACCCATTGTATAAGGAAGATTTCATATTTTTTACGTTAGACTTTTTACAATCTTTTTAGTTCATAAGGCGTTAGTGCATCTCAACTAATTATGATAAAATTCGTATTATTATGTAAAATATCTTATTAAAAAATAACATTCTAATAGCGAAATGCTGCATATTAGATTTCTTTTAAAGAATTGTCCATCCCTTATTAGATTTAAAATAGCCATATTACCTGACTCATACACGTTAGAACGGTCTAAGCCTTTCCTTTTTTTTGATATACAGTGTGTTACCTTAGGTCTCTTATTTTTATTTTTGTGAAGAATCATTAGGGCAGTGACATATTTTAGCTAATATTAGTTTCATAAGGAGTCTTACCCCCTATAAAAAATTTTATCCGTTATTTCTATAAAAACTCCGTAAAAGTGAGCCTTTCACGGATCCATTCACGGAAAATGTAAATAATTTGTTAAATTCCGTGATCTAAGGCGGAAATATGAGGCTTTTATGGAAAAAGATGGAATATAAAAAACGGATCGACTTTTTTTACAGGGACCCCCCACCCTAAGATTTTTTTTAACCAATTATACATATAATTAATTTTGTGTCACATAAGATTTTCATGACCCTTATTCATAGTTTTATTTTTGATTAATGTAATTTTAAGGAAAATATTATGAAAAATATTACTTTGTAAAAAAGTTTATTGTGATATAAGATATTAGGTATGAAATGTATCTATCTCAAGAAAGATACGTATTTTGATTAGATAAAAAAACAAATCATAAATCTTTTTGATAATCATAAATGATCTCGACTTAGTAATTAATTTGTGAAAAATGTTTTTTTTTATTTATTAAAATAGTATTACAGTATTTTAAAAGAGAAAAAGAGATTCATTATATTAACTAAAATTTAAGATGATCAAAAATTGTCATTCATGTTTAAATATTATTTTATTATATGAACCTTAGATATTTCGGTAGTGTACAATTTCTTGTTTAGTTTCAAAAATTCTTACTTGAGCAATATCTTAGAGACACGGCTGGAAAAATATTTTCGTTTATTATAATGATAACATTGTTAATTCATTATCTGAAAGTTTTATTTACAAAATATTTTGATGATCGTAAATCTCAGATCTGGCTGTCAGTATTCAAAAAATTTGAAGAATAAGTGGTAGTATTTTTTTTGTAACAATTAATTTAGTCGTCTTAATCGTTAAGGAAAATTAAATTTAAGGGGTACATTATTATTGCCAAGAATATACTGTATGTAAGTAGTTTTCCAATCATATGAATAATAATGATACTTTCAGCTTAAATAAATATTACATAATTAAAGCTGCAGTTAATATGAAAGAGGCCGATTTAAGTAATTAAAAATTCAGTAAAGTAATAAACTTATCGATGTATTATTATATAAATTGGTATCTTTACATATAATAATTACGATTATAAATTGATTATATAACCAAAAATTTTATATTTGTAGTTACCCGCACATGAATAATAATAAACTTAATATGCTGTAACATTTGCTATATTCGTAACCTTCAAAGAAAGAAGCTAATAATTTATTATCATGTAGTCTGTTCACGACATTGGTGCAAATTGGGTCTCGATCAACAGTAAAATAATATTATGTAAAAAAAAATTTATATATATATATTCTTTCAATTGACAATCATTCGACGATACATTCATACATAATTCATATTTAATTTAATGCATGCACTTCGCTTCCGACCGAATTTCGGGCAGTGCCGAATGTTACACTGATCAAGCGATCACGTTTGATTTTTATCTCAACCTCGCTAATGTCCGATTGATTACAAAAAATTTGAATTTTTTTGATTTTATCATTTATCCCACGATTAAAACTCTTCTATTCGTGAAAAGACTTTTTCAATTGACCAAATAAGGAAATTAAGCGCATTAACCCTATTTAAACTGCTACATAATTTGAAATTTACTATTGAACATTATAATATTCATCTTTGTGTAATTTCTTTAAATAGGAGGTTATAAAATGCAAGCATATGAGTTCACAATAACCGAAATGACGATTAGATGCAGTTTAGGCGCAATGAAAGGATTACAAATAAAACTAAGTTGTGACCAAATTTTAATTAGTAGTACCATATGACTATATGACTTTGTGAATTCACCCAACGTATTAAGTCGAAGATGTTGATTATAAAGATTGTATTACTCTAATACTTTTTTTTTTTTTTACGCCAAATCATTTATTATAATTTTGATTTTTATAAAAGCAAACCGAATGTAGATAAATGTAGATACCAAAAAATGCTTTTAATAAAAAAAAATTTAATATATAACAATCGGGTTTAATTAATCACGCGTTCCGTTATTTCGGAGATAAAGTTTTTTATTATATATATTTTAAATTAAATATTTTCTGAAAAAAGAAAAATAAAAGCGCGTATAAATTTTTTTTTTTTTTTTTTTTTTTTT